TGGGTGGGTTTCAGCCAATCCAGAAAGCAGTGGGCGGGACTAGGTGTGGCCAGGTGCTGACTGACAAGCTACAGGCTTGTGATTTGGCAGTGACAGCGCTGATAAACACACCCCCTTGTAACATTTTGCACTGTAGTGCAAGCCGTCACAGCGTAAACCAGAGTGGCAACTCTGCTCTGAATCCAGGAGCAGTGCAGCATTGTTGCCACACCATCACAGGAAGCTGCATTAGGTGGACTTCACTGGCAGGATCAGCAGGTATTTGTGGGACTGTGCAAGAGGACTTGAAGAAAAAAACTGTCAGGTCAGATACACTTATAATTAATCATATATGTTTTAGTGTAAGGCCTCATTCGCACTGTAATCGGCCGGCACGTACAGCTCCGTGCTGCGTGCAGGGCCGTATCGGACCACTCCTGGGATGGACAGGTGCTCCGTGTGATTAGTACGCAGCCCCCATTCTTCTCTATGGGACTATGCGGCCGTACGCCCCCCCTACGCTCACCCGCCCTGCACGTCCGTGCGGGTGAGCGTACTCGTACGCTGACAGGATGCGTCCGAGCCAGGAAACCCGCACCAGTACGGGCCTGCACTTGTGGTGAGCATAGGGCGGCGTACGGCCGCGTAGTCCCATAGAGAAGGACAGGGGCTGCGTACTAATCACACGTAGCACCTGTCCTTCCCGGGAGCTGCTCGGTACGGCCATGCACGCAGCACGGAGCTATACGTGCCGGCAGATTACAGTGTGAATGAGGACTAAGAGGGCAATTTTAAAGTAGAACAAAGGGCTAAGTTAAAAATTACACGGAAGAACTGTTCACATGCAGATTCCCTATCTGCCCACTAGATGTCGCAAGAATAATTGTGACTTTGGGGCTCACTGTAGGGTTTGTATCCAAGTCGATTATTGTTTTAGGACTGCTACAGGCCTTACAAAAATATATACATTTGTTACGCAATACAGCCACCCTGCTGCAGAGGTTTATCCCCCATAAAATCAATGTTTTACCAAAACAGTTCACATGGTCACTTTATTAACAACAATCCCCTTAAATTCACTAAAAAATGTACCCAGAAACTAAACCCTCCATAAAAGAAACCCCATTCCTGTATCTGGGGTCCTCAATGTTGGAACCAATATCAGTGGACTATGACCATTAACAGTCAGCCAAATTGTATCAAAGATCGCAATGTAAAAGAAGTATGTGGTAGGTCTACAAGTAAGATGTGTAGCTCTACAAGTAAGATGCGTAGGTCTACAAGTAAGATGCGTAGGTCTACAAGTAAGATGCGTAGCTCTACAAGTAAGATGCGTAGGTCTACAAGTAAGATGTGTAGGTCTACAAGTAAGATTGTGTAGGTCTACAAGTAAGATGTGTAGGTCTACAAGTAAGATGTGTAGGTCTACAAGTAAGATGCGTAGGTCTACAAGTAAGATGTGTAGGTCTACAAGTAAGATTGTGTAGGTCTACAAGTAAGATGTGTAGGTCTACAAGTAAGATGTGTAGGTCTACAAGTAAGATGCGTAGGTCTACAAGTAAGATGTGCAGGTCTACAAGTAAGATGTGTAGGTCTACAAGTAAGATCTGTAGGTCTACAAGTAAGATGTGTAGGTCTACAAGTAAGGTGTGTAGGTCAACAAGCAAGATGTGTAGGTCTGCAAGCAAGATGCGTAGCTCTACAAGTAAGATGTGCAGGTTTACAAGTAAGATGTGTAGCTCTACAAGTAAGATGCGTAGGTCTACAAGTAAGATGTGTAGGTCTACAAGTAAGATGTGTAGGTCTATAAGGACGATGTGTAGGTCTACAAGTAAGATGCGTAGCTTTACAAGTAAGATGTGCAGGTTACAAGTAAAGATGTGTAGCTCTACAAGTAAGATGTGTAGGTCTACAAGGAAGGTGTGTAGTTCAACAAGCAAGATGTGTAGGTCTGCAAGCAAGATGCGTAGCTCTACAAGTAAGATGTGTAGGTCTACAAGTAAGATGTGTAGGTCTATATGGACGATGTGTAGGTCTACAAGTAAGATGTGTAGGTCTACAAGTAAGATGCGTAGGTCTACAAGCAGGATGTGTAAGGTCTACAAGTAAGGTGTGTAGGTCTACAAGTAAGATCTGTAGCTCTACAAGTAAGATGTGTAGGTCTACAAGCAAGATGTGTAGGTCTACAAGTAAGATGTGTAGGTCTACAAGTAAGATGTGTAGGTCTACAAGTAAGATGTGTAGGTCTATAAGGACGATGTGTAGGTCTACAAGTAAGATGTGTAGGTCTACAAGTAAGATGTGTAGCTCTACAAGTAAGATGTGTAGCTCTACAAGTAAGATGTGTAGGTCTACAAGTAAGATGTGTAGGTCTACAAGTAAGATGTGTAGGTCTACAAGTAAGATGTGTAGGTCTTCAAGCAAGATGTGTAGGTCTACAAGTAAGGTGTGTAGGTCAACAAGCAAGATGTGTAGGTCTACAAGTAAGATGCGTAGGTCAACAAGTAAGATTGTGTAGGTCTACAAGTAAGATGTGTAGGTCTACAAGTAAGATGCGTAGGTCTACATGTAAGATGTTTAGGTCTACAAGTAAGATGTGTAGGTCTACAAGTAAGATGTGTAGGTCTATAAGGAAGATGCGTAGGTCTACAAGCAAAGATGTGTAGGTCTACAAGCAGGATGTGTAAGGTCTACAAGAAAGATGTGTAGGTCTAAAAGCTTAACCGTAATGTACATATAAATATAAAATTTGCTCGTACTTTTGCATCTGGTCCTTATTGACAGTAGGGAATATATATGTTATATAGTCCAAGGCGATGGACTAAATGGCATGAACAATGATATGATGGGGAAACCCCCAGTTTTCCAGATAGAGCATCTGAACCTGATTATTTATGCCATTTAGTCAACCCTGGTTAAGCAGTTATCAATGAGTATATGGGATTAAATGGATATAACAATCATTAGTAATAAGATTCCGCACATCCCCTTGGATAGAAATCTCCCTGATTACAACTCAACTGTCAGTGTGAAAGTGTATTGTGTAGGATAAAAAAAAACACATATAAAAATAAGCAAAATGTGCACTATTGTGTCTTGGCCCTACAACGGGTACACACAACAAATGACGCACGCATATGTGGTATCGCGGTAAATGTCAGGAGTAAGGGAATCTGCTTGGTGGTGGATCATGATGGCAATGGCAAGAAAAATACAGCTATAGCTTTTTTTTTCTTTTTTGGGCCAGTTTTCCTTAAATAATAATTAAAAAAAAATCGAGAAAATAGGATTTTGTTCTTACCGTAAAATCCTTCTTCTCGGAATTCATTGAGGGACACAGCTCTGATGAATTTCGATGCGTTCCAAATCAGTCCAAACAGAGCGGGGTGGGCAGGCCCGGATTCCCCACAAGGCTACCGAGGCCCGGCCTCGGGGCGGCAGGGCGCAGAGGGGCGGCAGCGGTGTCCTTGTGGGGAAGTTGCCCTCTCTGCATTCAGTCCTGCTTTGTGCTGTGCGAGAACTCCTGTATTGGATGGGGGTGGGGAAAAAAACAACCAAAGAACCAGTCTAACAACAAACTCGTACCTGTAAAAATACTTTGAAACAGCTGCCTCAGGAACTTTTCTGCCAAAAATAGCATCAAAGGAGGCAACAACATCAACAGAAGACCGAGTGGCAGCCTTGCAATTTTGAGAAACAAGCCTGACTTTGAAATGCCGACGAAGTACAAACTGCCCTAGTAGAACGAGCAGAAATAGGAAATGGAGGAACCTTAAAAGTTTGAATGGACAACCTGATGAATCCACCTAGAAATAGTGGATCTAGAAGCTGAGCAACCTGTATTAGGACCTTCAGGAAGAATTAATGGAGTCCAATTGCTTAAAGGAAGTTGTGGCTGAGAGAGAAACTCTATCATGAACACGATGAACACGAGCTGGACAAAATGAAGGTAAAACAATGTAAATTAAATGAAAAGTCGAAACCAAAAACATTTTGGTTCAACTGACCGCCGTTCCCTTTTGAGGATGACGACCGTTTGATTTGTATGGACAACGTGTATGCCGAAAGTTTCTCCATCTATAGATTTTGCAAGGGGCTCGGGGAGAAGATGACGGTGTCCCTACCCAAAGTGCCGTCCACAAAACTATCGATGTAGTCTCCCCAGGACGTGGCTCCGGCATCGGGTGTTCCACGGGAGGCGAGTGAGCAGTCGTGAGGGAGAAGTGGTATAGGCACCTCATGTTCCTGGAGGGGGTGCGCGTGCAGCACCACCTTGGGTATAAAGGAAACTTTCGTTCTTAACCTGGGAGGGTCTCATGCAAAGGATCATGTGTCAATTCTCATATATTGAAGCCTCCTCAGTAGGTGAACATGGATGTAGTTCTCTCTGAAAGATGGAATCCTTGGAGGAGAAGCAGCAGGAAACGGGAGATTTTTGGTGGGTTTACCTTCGTGGGTCTCATACATAGGATCATCCCTAATTTCTCATTTACTGAAGCCTCCTTTAGCAGGGGAACATGCTCATAGCTTTCTGTGAAAGATGGAATCTTCTTTGACAGTGGAAGGGGCGAAGAACAGAGAAGCTTCTTGGTGGCTCTACCTTGGTGGGTCTCATGCAAAGGATCATGTGTCAATTCTCATTTATTGAAGCCTCCTTACCAGGTGATCACGGATTGAGACCCAAAGATCAGGAATGGCTTAGCAGGTGAACATGGGCATAGCTTTCTCTAAAAGATGGAATCTTGTCCTTGGAGGACAGCGGCAGGGAACAGAGAAGCTTCTCGGTGGTTCTATCTTAGTGGCAGGCCCGGCGCTACCGCAAGGCAAGCGGTCGCCTGAGGGCGCTGCAGGGTGAGGGCAGAAAAAAGGGAGGGTGTAGGGTAACACAAAAATGCAACTTTGCCTGTCTAGGCAAGAATCCTGGCACCGGCCCTGCTTAGTGGGCCTCATGCAAAGGTCCTTTTAGCCCAAATTCTTAAACTAACCTAAAGATTGAGACCCAAAGATCGGGAATGGCTTACCTTATCCAGGAGAACATTCTGCCACATGCGGAACATGTTCAGGAAACTTCTGTCTCTGGCGGTGAACGATGTTAAGAAATACTGCAAGGAAGAGGAGGGAATTTTAATCAAACAAAATATTAAAGCTGAACCTTCCCTTCAGTATTGCACAATTGTAGCGGCTCCTCTCCTGGACTGAAATTCCTTAAACTGATTTCACTGCACACTGCGAGCTTCTCACAATGTGCATTAGAGGCTGCAGCATGTTAGTGCCATGTAAATACAGTTGGGAAATAACCAGTACACTGTCAATAAAGTTCAAATGGCAATTGAGGTCACTGAGCAAAAAGTGAGGTAAAAAAGTAGCGAAAAGAACATTTTCCACCGACATCTTGGCTCCATGCTGGATCGCTTTCTGAAAGTGACTGTTCTTTTTGCACTTTTTTACCGTATGTTTTGCACTATGACCTTAAAAACAATTGAGGTTTATTGATGGTGTGCTGGCTATTTCTTAAAGGAGAACTATGAGGTGAGTGCTTTTCACTCACCTCATAGTTCTAGCCGACCTGTGACAATGAGACTGTCACAGGTCGGCTCAGTAGATCGGGAAGTGAGCGAACACATACCGGCGTTCGCTCACCTCCTGTCACGGCTCTCTGCCTTGACAGGGGAGGGGCTGGATTCCTCCCTCCCTGCTCCGATCCGCCAGCGCTGACTGGCGGAACGGACAGGGGAGGGGGCGGGTACAGCTGGCTCTGCCTCTAGATAGGCAGAGCCAGCTGTCACTCATGCAGCTGGGTGGATCTCGACATCCATGTCGGGATCGGCTCCGGCTGCGGCGTCTCAGTATACCGCAAGCTGTAGCTCGCGGTATACTGAGCTTAGGGTAACGGGAGGACGCTAGTTTGTGTCCTCCCGTTACCCTAAGGAGAACTATGGGGAAAAGCCCTAACCCCATAGTTCTCCATTAACCAAGCCATAGTGTAAGCACCCCTCATCAGTTGCAACTGCTTCATGCAAATGCAGTCTGCCAAGGAACACCCACTCATCAAGACATTGATGTTTGCATAACTCCTCCCAAGAGCCAGCCCACTGCTTGTATCGGGGCAGAGTACTGAGGCAGGGTGCTGTGATGTTTTCCAGAGGCTATGTACAGCAACCTGCCGGCCCCTCCCACCAGCCATGATCTGTCTGCATTGCACAGAGACCCAGTGATGACAAATAAAAAAAGTTTGTGACTGTGAGGTGGAGATCTCCCTGGACACTGGACAGTTTAAAGATCACCAGGGTGCTTTTTTTTTTTTTTAAAGGTGATAACCTTGCAGAGTTCTGGATGCAGGAGTCAGTAATGCAGAGTTCAGAGGTCAGCAATAAGTGGTGCAAAATGCAGAGGTCAGTACTATTTAACACAGTGCAGGCGTCAGTAGTGTATAAAGGTGCAGGGGTCAGTTGCAAGTAGTGCAGGGGTCAGTTGCAAGCAATGCAGAGTGCAGGGGTCAGTTGCAAGCAATGCAGAGTGCAGGGGTCAGTTGCAAGCAATGCAGAGTGCAGGGGTCAGTTGCAAGCAATGCAGAGTGCAGGGGTCAGTTGCAAGTAATGCAGAGTGCAGGGGTCAGTTGCAAGCAATGCAGAGTGCAGGGGTCAGTTGCAAGCAATGCAGAGTGCAGGGGTCAGTTGCAAGTAATGCAGAGTGCAGGGGTCAGTTGCAAGCAATGCAGAGTGCAGGGGTCAGTTGCAAGTAATGCAGAGTGCAGGGGCCAGTTGCAAGTAATGCAGAGTGCAGGGGTCAGTAGTAAGTAATGCAGAGTGCAGGGGTCAGTAGTAAGTAATGCAGAGTGCAGGGGTCAGTAATAAGTAATGCAGAGTGCAGGGGTCAGTAGTAAGTAATGCAGGGTGCAGGGGACAGTAATAAGTAATGCAGAGTGCAGGGGTCAGTAGCAAGGAATGCAGAGTTCAGGGGTAAGTAGTTAAAAATGCAGAGTTCAGGGGTAAGTAATGCAGAGTGTAGCGGTCAAGAGTAAGTAACACAGAGTGCAGGGGGTCAGTAGTAAGTAATGCAGAGTTCAGGGGTAAGTAGTTAATAATGCAGAGTTCAGGGGTCAGTAGTAAGTAATGCAGGGTGCAGGGGACAGTAATAAGTAATGCAGAGTGCAGGGGCCAGTTGCAAGGAATGCAGAGTTCAGGGGTAAGTAGTTAAAAATGCAGAGTTCAGGGGTAAGTAATGCAGAGTGTAGCGGTCAAGAGTAAGTAACACAGAGTGCAGGGGGTCAGTAGTAAGTAATGCAGAGTGCAGGGGTAAGTAGTTAATAATGCAGAGTTCAGGGGTCAGTAGTAAGTAATTCAAAGTGCAGAGGTCAGGAGTAACTAACACACATCTTCCCCAGAAGCAACAATACTCTAATTCCAGTACAAGCATCACCCCCTAAGAAAAAA